AAATGCCGAAATGATGCATTAAACTGCTGAAAGATGTGCGAATTAGTTGCCACCGTTTGGGATTTGTGGGGTGGGAGAGGAAGAGAGAGAGGGTGTAATGCCCCTGAAGTGGAGTGGAGAGTGGGTTGGTTCCTGTGAGATCGGTGAATTGAGTTGTTCGACTGGAATGATTGCGTGTGAAGGGTCCCGGCGGATGGTGCAAAGTTCACAAAAGGCAACAATAGAAACTTATTCGCAGATTTATGTTCTGCATATTGAAAAGCAATATCAAAGTAAAAAATACTTAGATTACTTTATTGCATTAAGTTTTGGATTTCCTTTGAACTGGTATGATTACATTATCCAAGACATGGTGAAAAATGATATAATAAGTGCACAGGATGAGACATATTTTAAAAGAAAAACTGTCCATGCCTAATGGGATTTCTCTCTTATCTTAGCCCAAGATCCCCGGCTTTGAAAGAAAATGTCCTCGGCCCTGGCTAGAATTCCATCAACTAAATGACAGGCATCCGTCCCTTGAAGATGACTCTCCCACATTGTCATTGTTCCATGTGCATGGCTACAATAATTAATTTTCTTAAATCCCGATATCAGATTTATCTGTGGAAAACGTTTTAAGCCTCCCCCTGACCAAAAAGAACTAAAAAGAAATGAGCAAACGAAGAGCGAAGAACAAAACCAAACAAAAAACGAATGCGAACAATGAGAGATATTTTTAAATGGAAAATTTCGTTTTTAATCCTCGCTATGTCCCATACCTTTCTCACACATCCATCCAGCCATACAACTATACAGCTATCCGGCTATCCGTGAATCCATCTATCTGTCGGCTGGCTCTTAACTAACCCAACCTTAGAAGGCCTCGGATATTTCGGTCTCCAATGGTTGTTGTAATTCATCACCTACAAATCAATCATTTTGACGAAGCAACTCACTAAAAAAAAAGAACGTTCGACCCGAAAGAACATCGAAATAAAGGGAATATCGCACTAAGAACGGAGCGTATAAAATGCACACACACTCTGCTCCGGAGGGACAATAGATCAATGCTTCAATATCAAAGAGTCGGCTTGACCTTTTAACGCAAGTTTTTTGTCGGTTGTAGAGGTGAGCGGAGAGGTGAGGGGTGAGTCGAGGTACGAGGGACTCACTATCTGGAGATGCGAGATGGAAGCCTGTCTCAGCTCGACTAATTGTCTCCCAATGGATCACTCTCTGGGTTCTTACACAGAGAGAAAATAAATGGATTTGAATGGGAAATATTAATAATATATCTTTACTATATAAGCTTAGATGCAGTTATACAGATTTTAGTATAAATAATGTTATTTTTATGAAGTTCAGAAATCTTGATCGGGTAATAAGTTTGACTTTTGACTTCACTGTTTCTCTCAGTGCTCTCTCAGTCCGTATCTTGGACGCATGAAAAATGTTTTCATTCCATAGATTTATGTAGATAGGCCTGCAAAGGTGTGGCGTAGGTGAGTGCATGTGTGTGTGCAGTGCATGTGCAGGGCAATTGAGTGTGTGTGTGTGTGTGTGCCGGGACTTAATTTGTTGTGCTTGTGTGCTGCAGCATTTTGGTGTGAGATTACGCATTCTGAGTTCTCTGCCTGATCTTTGACGATCCTTTCAGAATTGGAATTCTCATCTTGTCTTGGCTTAGTTTACAATGCTCTTTTGATTAGGCCACGAAGGTGGCCCCCTCCCCTGCCCATCCAATCCCCGTACGTGATTGGTATTATTCATCACTTGTCCTTCGCCGTATCCTATCTCTGGCATTTGTTTCTCGGCTTGGCATTCTGGCTTATCGGGCAAGATTTGTTTAGGCACAACCTTGGCAGTGTTTAATTAAAATTTTAAGTATGTATGCTCAGGTAGTTTCGTTGCTTATTTTTTATGTTTTGGTATCTGCTGTTTGGTAGGTAGAATCAAAATTCTTACATTTATTTAGTTGCCACAGGAAGTCGTAAAACATTTGCGCTCACTGACTGTGATTTCCAGTCCTGCCACACAATTTTCTAATTGATTTTTATGGATTTTTGCTCGGACATTTACAGGACTTCCACTAGGGGAAAGTTTCTTCAGTTGAAAGTGGGCGGGAAGGGCTAAATAGTGAGCAGTGGGCAGGTGGGGTCTTAGGGGGGATTCGGAGGGGTCAACAGCCAAAAACTGAAAAGTTTTACGTAGTCTTAACAATGAATGCAGTCGATAAGTAGTGGCATAAGTACGATTTCATTTCTACACACACACACACAGTCGCATAATGCCAGCAATGAGAGAACCGAGCAAAGGAATTGGTTTTAATTTTAAAAGACACCGACCGGCTAAATACCCTTCGGTGGTAATATAAGGAATTATGTTTTTCTGAAGAACTTCTATAAGTTAAACCAAATTAAAAGTATCTTTAATCACTGCCCATTATGAACATTACCTCTATTCGAATAACTTTTACTTTAGTTCACCAAATTTCTCTTAAATTTGTATAAACCGTTGCTCTTAAGTTAAGAACTCGTTTAGGTAGGGTAAAGTCAAAAGCTTCGTACTCCTCCGCCCTTCAAAGGAGACTGAATCGAGTCAAGGCACAGCTGTTGGAAAAGAAGCAGAAGTTGGATAAGAGAGGCGGGCAGAAAAAGAAAAGAAAAGGACAGCAGGCGGTGAGGGATGGGGGACAGGATAAGAAGAGGGTATGGGCTGGGGATGGTCTCAAAATAGTCATTGTAATAAGAAAATTTTGATTTCATTTTTAGTATTTGTATAAAATTTAATAACGCCGCACAAGATGGCTGACTTGGCAGGGCGAGAACAACAAAGGAGCGAGCAGGACGGAGTGCTCAACGATAGACAGAGAGAGAGAGAGGGGTGGTATGGGTGGTTTTTTTGGGTGAGGGTAACTAAAACGCTTAAAACACACAATCTCGTTTCGGGTTCGGTTGGGATTTCGGGGTTACGCTTAAACTCTAAGTACATTTTAACTTAACTGCCTTTTTTGTTGTTGGTCCTTCGTTTTTGGTTTTTTGTTAGTTGCTCCTGCCTTTTCCCCTTCCCCCACCCCGTTTCCCCTTGGCCCTTTTCCATGGCGAACTGTAAGGCGAGAAGGCAAAAAACCCAGAGGATGATGATGCCGATGCCAATGATGATTATTACGGATGGGCGGTGGGAGTGGGGGTTTATCAAGGGGTGGTGACTTGAGTGGTGGTTCCTCAACTTCTAACTTGACTTGTGTGTGTGTGTGTGTGTCTGAGTGTGTTCGTTCGCCTGAGTACAATTATAAATTTTTGGAATTGTTGTAATTTAGTTTGTTTGTTTGCCAGTTGGATGTGCTAGATGCTCGCTCCTGCTCGCTCTCTCCTACAATATCCCTCGCTCCCTCTACTGGCTAGTTCGAAATGGGAATGTGTATTTGTGCTAGGGCTTTCCCTTTGTATTATATACTAACTTTGATTGTGTTCTAGCGAGCAAGTGAAGCAGGCACTTTGATACCCATCAATTAGTCGGGGGTTCAATGTAACCCTTTTTTAGGCAAGAGGATGTGACAGCAGCTGCTTTCGCTTTGAGTTATTGCCCTGATTTGAAGGGTTATTAAACTTGTTAGTACAGTACTTTAAAAAGTACCTCAAGGAGCCTTACTTAGGGTCGTCTATGATTTTGGGTGCATATTATAGAATAAAATACCAATTTGTTTTACTTTACTTTATAACTTGAAATACACAATCTGAAAAATGGCAACAGATATTCTGGGATCTCTGATCTCCGACTGTTTATTTCACAATTGGCTATCCAATCGCACTATCATTCCATGAAAAGTTAAGTTTTTCCCACCACGAATGATTTGATATCACTGATTTGGAATCCGTATCCCTAGCGTAACCCCGCATAATCCCTTACCTCCTGTCACTCAAATGATTAGAGAGCCGGAATGCCCGACATACCCTTTGACACCCTATTCATAACGGGTATAAAAAGTTTTCTCCTAACTGCGATTTCCACTGCGACTGCTGCCTTTGCTGATTATCACGATAAAGCATAATGATTACATTTTTAGTAGAAGTCGCTTGTGAGAGTGTGCGAGCAGGATGGCGAGAGGGACAAGTCCTGCAAGTGCGAGTGCGAGCGAGCGTAATTATTGTTCGCAAAACGTCGGAGTTTTTGAACTTGTTGGGATTTGGATTGAAATTGGGCTTAGGTTTGGGTTAGGGTTTACGATTTCGGGTTCGGGCTTGGGCCAGGGTTCGGGGTGGATTGCTCTTGCTATTGCTATTCTATGTATATCGAAGGGGTGGGGAGTTTAAGCGGCATTGGCTTGCACTTGATTAATTGCGATTTATGTATATGCGATATGGAAGTTTTGTGTGTAATTACGGACGGGTTGGTAACTGTTATAACGGTCGTTGACATGAGGGTTCCTTTCAATTCGTTAGCTGTGAAATTCGAGTAATAAACGAGGAGATTATGCAAGGAATAGTAAAAAAAAGGAATATAAAAAAACCGGGGGAGGAACCCCGTTAACTCCCAAAATTATGCTATGCAGCTGCAACATCCTTAGACTTAGCTTCTTCCTTTCTTTTTCGAAATAAAGAACTATTTTTGCTGGCTGGGCAAATAATTCAGATATAATATTTGTTGTTGTTTTATTTGGAGAGCGCCCTGTTGTTGTAGCCGCATTTTTGGTTTTGTTTTGGTTCTCTCGTTTGGTACACCCACTCTTCAAGAGAGCAAAAACAAAAAAAAAACGAAGAGAGAGAGGAGAGAGAGAGAGAGCGCAAGTTAAAGTACAAATGCCGCTATTGTCATTTATTTTGGCCCACATTAAGCCAAGTATGATAAACGCACACCACGAAAGCAAAGAGAGCGTGTTTGCTCTCTTCAGCATGTTACATTCGTTCGTCGATTGCACGAAGTGGCACACGAGCGCTCTTCGGGTGTTTCTATCGTTGTGTGCGTTTGTAAATTGATTTTATTAGTTATTCGTTATTGTTGTTGCTGTATGTTTGCCACTGCCTCTGCCGCCGTCAGCGTTTAACATTACAGTCAAAAAAAAAGGCTGCGAGTGAACGGACGTGCGAGCGCGCGCAGCGGCAATATTCTTGGCTTTTCATCCGGCGTTCTTCCCTCTAATCAAATCAATCACCCAAAAACCCGCCATTCAAACATACTACCAAATACAATATTCGAAAAATCGGTTCTCGAGTGCTGCTTACACAACCAAGAAACCAACTTAAAAACCAATTTACCGATGTGAAAATGTGCAATTAACTTGCAGAAACTACTGAAAATAAAAACCAAAACAAAAAGGACAAACTTTTAAAACTCCTGCTTTTGGGATTATCAACAAACAAAAGAGAACTTTTCGCAGGACTTTGTGAGCAGGATAACAAACACACACACGAACAAGCAAACCGACAATCAAAATGGTAAATATTAAGCTGGAATAAGAAAATCAAAGTATTTCGAAAGACTTTAAACTGTGTTATCAAAGTAGTTCTTAAGGGGATCTTAAGGGGTTTTAGTCGCAATAAGAAAATACGAAAAATGCATATTAGAGAAGTTATTTTACACAGACTTAAGATTCAGCAATATAGAAGAAAACTAAAACTATATAAATCATCACCAAAATCCTTGCTACTCTTTATCTACATAATTCAGTGATAAGTTTCAGAAATCAAAATCTAAGGGTATAAATAAATGTTCTTAGCTATACATTGTAGGAAAAATGTCTTCTATATTGATTTATTGCGAAGCAGCAACAAAAACATATCTCCAAAATCGGTTTGGGCCAATATAAACGTTCTAGTACCATATTTTCATACGCCCTGTGATTCAGCGCGAACTGGCTAATTTCTATTTTATTAGCCAAGTTTGTGTGACTTGGCCGACACTCCTTAGTCTTAGTCATTAGCCGACTCAGAGGTGTCTTGGTATCTTTACCTAACGTTCGTGCGGGCTAGATTATTGCATATTATAAAGCGAAACAAAATGAGATACCAATGGAGATATTCCGATTTAGAATGCGAATACCTTTTATTTGTTTATTTGGCACGCACTCGACGCCGCGACGTACATATAAATTTAGCTTAATCTCTTTGCCTGCATATTAATTTCTGCTCAATATTATTGGCATCGCTAATTTCTATAATTTCCGGCGCTGCTGATTCGCTTAACCCAAGCGACTGCACCCATAAAAGGCGACTCTGATTTGTGTTTCGCGATTTATTTGCTCTGGGAGCCATAAAGCAATATGCACACACTACAATTAAGCCATTGACGTATTACTTCCGTTCCTAGAGTTCGGCATCCCAACTAATATAATTCTAATGAATTTCAAAAGCCGCACTCCGACATAATCGCTAAGGATCCGCAGTTTCTTAGCTATCGACTAGCGGATATATGGCAAATTCCGAACGTTATCCCTTGGGGTTTCTCGGGCGTTTTTCAAAAATATTCCATTGATAATTTTTAAGCAAATGCATGACTTCGCACTCGATGGTTTAAGCACAAAAAACACTAGATTAGTGTAGCTATCTAAAACGTTCTTAGTTCGCAGAATATGGCATATGACTAATAAGTCTTAGAGGAAGTTTAAAGAGAAAGATATTATATCATCGGAGGGCAAATCCAAAGGAATTTTTCGCCAAGAGGTTTTCTCAATTGTCAACAATTTTTCGCAATCAAATGGTTATGTATCCGATTTTCAAATTAATCGCAATAAATGCAAGATATGAAGAAAAATGAAGAAAATTTGTGGCTTCTGGTTGTTTTGAGAAATATTGAAAATTCTGTGCCATATGTGAACGAGATACATTTGTATCTGTGTGTAGCTATGTGTTTGTTTGTGTGTGTGACGGCGGGATACAAATAAACTTTTGGCACATTAAGAACGCCGCAAAATGCGAAGAGTCAGCCAAATATGAAATTATGATCACGATTATGATTATGATGTTGTTATAATTAGAGAACAACGAAACGGCGAAAAACGATTCATAATTATTCAAAAATTGACTTGAGCCAGTCGTCGCAGTTCTTCGCTCCGAAATCCACCAGCTGCCGTCGCCAGATCGTTCCGATCGTTCAGATCGTTCGCATATAACATCGTATAGGATCCATATGGGCTTTAGTTATGGTCTTAGTTGGGGGCTGCTATTTTTAAGTGCACGCAAACACACAAACACACACACGACTGCAATTACACTTTCGAGTGCTTAATCACAGCCGAAACTTTTACACAAATCATATTCCCCAATATGTATGGTCATTGCCCATCGCCCATGGCCCACCCCCTCCCTGTCTCCTGCTCCTTACCATTTCCATTCAGGGCGTGCGCGCCCCTGCAACTTTTCTTTTTCCCTGCTCGCTTTTCCATTGAAAAGTCGGGCGAGAATGTGCACGATATGTTTCCACTCAAAATGTTCGAGCGGCCGGAGAAGTGGAGAGATGAAACGAAAAGGAAAACGAGCACATTTGTTTTATTAATTGCCACTCTTACAAACACATGCTCGGGCCTCGTGGCCGATAATCGTGGAATACGCTATTTTATATGGCATAATCATAATTGGCCAAAAAGTGGCTGTAATGAGAATTACTTGGCTACACACTCGGACCATCTTGCCGCGGAAAATCTGCTCATTAATTCGATTCCAAAAGATCAGACTCTTGCCGCCGCATCCTGCTTGGAAAATATAGATCTTACAGCTGGTAAGATTCGCCGAAAACGGAAAATGGCTGTGAAAACTGTTTTATGTGATACTAAAACTAATGGTTATATGAAAAGCGAACTGCTTAAAGTGACAGTTTTAGAAGGGATTGCAGAGATGATCATGATTCTATACTATTTTAGTATCAATTTAGTACATATTTTCTAACATTTTGATTAGTTAGTCTTTCTATGTAATTGTTGGCCAATTCAGTTAATCGAAAACACCATTTCGACCACATTTAGAGAGCTTTGTCAGCTGCCAACCCCCTTTTTATTGGCTGTCTATTGAATTGGCAATTATTTGAATTTATTTTTAATGCCCACAAAAGCACATACTCGTAGATACATTCATATCTGTGGGTAGAGGGATGTGGTGATGAGGTTGGGAACTTCTTCCATGGCTCATTTTCACCATCTGGAATGGGATTTGATCTGATTTCGCTGGCCAGAGTGTGTGTGTGTGTGTATCTGACTACTTAATTTCCAAGTGCCATAAAAATTTCGATTTGGAATTCAAATTGAAAGGAGGCTCCCTTTGGCCCTCCCTTCCAAATGCCATCTCATACCTCGTGTTGAAAATAAGTTGTCTTATTTATTGGCTCTATGCTTATAAATATTTAAAAAGCAACCAATGAAAATAAACAATTGTCGACACGCGGAATTAGAGGACAGCTATGGCGATTGCTGAAAGCCTTGCGATCGATATGTTTATGCTAATGCCTCAGGAATTTCCCGTATCGATATTAAGGCTCGGGCTCGGTTTCCATCTGCGTTTGTGAACGCCTCAAATGTCGAATGCAAATTCGTTCCATCACTCATTTAGTTTTCCATAGTTTCCACAGCGGAAAATTAATGCAAGTGTAAGAAAAGTGCCCGTCGCAAACAATGCTTGTCCATCTGTTCATCTGTCCATCAGTCAGTCAATAGCTCACTCTCTCACTTCCTCAGTCCCTCAGTCAGTCAGTCAGTCAGTCAACTCAGACGACAGCCACAGCCGGTTGAGGTTGAGTCACCTTACGTTTCGCTCATATGGAAGCCTCAGGCTCTTTACTTCAGCTATCGACACATCCTTGTTGGCCAAAAGATGATAGCGTGAGCTATTATATTAACTTATTTTAGTTAGCAGATCTTGTTAATTATTAATTTATGGTGAATATTTGGAAAAGAAGTGTAGTTTCATAAATGATATCAAAATGTAATCCTAGAAAATGTATCTTTCTTTCACTTGGCTGATTGAAACCCATAATTGAAATAACAATTTCGAAGAGCCATTCGAAAAGTACAATTTATCAAACCTGACTAACCAGAAATAAGAGTCCTATAATGATGCTTAAGCTTATGTATTCCGTGCTAACGTTTCCAATGGGATTTTACGCTTTTCCGGGACACACGCGACGCCTCACGTGGCCAACACCATCGCCATATCCGCGAACCACAAGGGGTAACCCCCTCCTCGCAAGTCGTCTTTTGAGTTTCGGGCCTTAATCCCCCGGCCCTGAGTCGAGACAATAAACTGGCAATCAATCAATGCACGTGTTTCATATTTTTGATATTGCCGCTGACGAGAATTTTCGGGCAAATCAGTCAGCTGGCTTAGTTATTGCAACATCAGAATATACTTCAAAGATATATACCCGAATATATATGTATATAGTTAAGAGGCAAAGTCCGCGGCATCACCCGAAAGTCGCTCAATTAGAGACGATTTAAATTTATAGATACGGTTAGGCAATGCATGCGCCCGAGGAGAAGGAGAATGTCTTAATTAATTTTAATTATTTTCAATGAGCGACTATGAAATACAAAACATTCCTTCCCCCAACTAAGAACGCCACTCGCTCGTTCTCGGACTCGATAAGAGCAGCAATTAAGTAACGAATTAATAGCAATCGACTTATAAATATGATGGTACCCTCAGTCCGTCCTGAATAACCATTTGTTTTGGCCCTCTATATGAGAATTGGGTGCTTAACCCGATCCCTGGCCCTATATTCGGGGTAAACTTTTCACGCCACCGAATTCGTGGCTTGCATTTTCCAAGCCGCCATGGAAAAGCATGTGCTTAGATGCGGGCCAAAGACCCGCTCAACGGCTCCCTGTTTACCCTCTGGTGGGCCATTAATTTATTTGTCTGCAACATGCAAACCAATTGACAATCAAACGCAATTAGTCACAATAATCGTGAAATGGAAACGCATTTTCTGCTCATTGTTTGCCCCGAAAAATATCAATTTTATTCGCCTGGCCCAGTGATGAGAGAACATCTCGATTGGCCAGAAACGTTCATAAATTATGATCGGCTCAGGACTTGGGAACATAAATCATCTCAGGTAGCTCAGGTGGGGCAACGCCCAAAGGCTGCCCCGCCTTTCGAATGACAGAAAAGTTAGCAGATTTTGTATTTTAACTAGAAGCGATTTATCAGCAATTAAGGGATGAGTTGGGCGCATAAAAGTATCTTCAACTGTAAGATATAGCCGAGTATCTAAGCTGTGAGGAGTTATATAACTCAAGATCGGAGTGAGACTCTCAGGCAGCTGCCAGGAATTTCAAACTTGGCCCACATTCGAGCGTTCGTTCTCTTTGAAAACCCTTCAGTTTTGAAGTTGCGCAGAATTAATAGGAATTCTTTTGGCTTGATACCGAGATTAGCTAATGTTGATATATAGTCAGGGCGAAATACGAGCATAGGGGAGCTGGTCTTGGGCATCCAGTTGGGCA